GGCACAAGCACTGTTGTAAAATAAAAGGAAAACTCGATAACAAATTAATACATCAACCGTCTGCTATGGAAGTACAGTAACAGGGTTCAACGTTAACTTTTTTAGGTTCACTAGACCATCGGGGCTAGTAACTGAGGAAAACACTAGCCCTGACTAACTCTCACCCAGACCCCATTATCTATGAAACTTTTGCCATCGCTATGAATCTACTAAAATTTCTCTAAATCTACTCCACTTAGCTAACCACCCATACACATCACAGCTTGGCTATTCTTGCGCCGAGCGGTCGTTTTCTGCGCTTTATAAAATCGGGCCATGCGGCGAGTCCACGTGCAGCATTTAATTATTCAGTGCTTCTACCACGTGCTTCACAGGCGCACGATTTATCGATCGTCTACTGGCAGCGGTTGCAGCACAGCCACGTTACATTATTGTTCTTTGTCGAAGGCTAGCACTGGAAGTCCGCTCCGCTTTGCTAGACAATGTACACGCTCTGCCGACAAACAGTGCGGCTCGCGAACCAGTCTAGCCAGAGGCACGACGGCAATTACAGAAAAAGGGCTAAGGCAGGTGACTTGCGGCCGTGGTTGGATTTTCAGGGGCAGTACGGCGATGATTAGGCCACCGACGGCAATTGCCGTCGGGTGTCAGTCGGTTAACTTCGAGCCCGTGCTCACGTGCTATTATAAATAGTTATGTCGTCAGTGATGACGCCGGATGAGAGTAGGTGAAGAGAAGTATAGAAACATTAAGACTTTGCGTAGTTAATAATTTCGTATTTATTTAGCAATTATAATGTTGCGCAGTGGGCTGGAGCTACATTAGCATCGTCGTTGTAGCCCTTGTTGGCTTAGGTGAGGGTTAGGTTAGGATGAGATTAGGTAGGGTAGGTTGATGGTTAGGGTTAGGATTAGGGATTAGGTGAAGCGTTAGGGTTGGTTTAGGGTATAGCCCTCATCTAACGACTCTCAAATCATGAATTTATTTCCAAGGCAGTTATTTCGAAATTGCGCCATCGCCGCGCATCTTTGCTCTCGTTAAGTATGAAAGCGAATGACTCCCGTTGACCCGTAGGCCTCGCAACATTAAGACTACAGCTACCGTACCCGTAAGCCACTGCCTATAATATTATATTTATTGCAAATTGCTCAAGGCCTTACCAAGCAAACAAACATTCAAAACATAAAAGGTATCTCACACAACGTCACAGCACACCCGAGTTATTAGACACATGCTGAACTAGACCCTTCCTAAAAGAAAAAAAGCCTAGGGCCTACCTACCTACCAAACTTTTCAGCCTGGTCGGGCTGAAGGGAAACAAAGATTTGTTTAATTGTGGCTGAGTTATGGGATGAGAGCGACGGTGCCTGTGTAGCATATTAATAACATTCATTTTATTCAACGTCTACGTAGACGAAACCTGCCTAGTAAGAGCATACATTTAATATACGTAAAGCTATAAAACTCATGTTTAATTACAAGTAACTCCTTCGATATTTAAACGTACATCAAGCATAAACAAGTCATTTGTATAACACAAACCATCATCTTTCATCGTAGACGCTGCCATCTTGAATGAAGTTCTCGCGAGAAAACAAGATATTCATGTAGATGGTACCCGTAGTCATTCTCGAATGTAGACAACTACATCTAACTATTGTTAAATAGAAGTCTTATGCCCGTCTATCATAAATACCCCAGTCAGCATGGCGGCTGATGATAAATCTGAACCGAATTCTGGAAACAGTAATACTGGGTCCAAGTCTAAAATTGGCATTCCCACGGCATTTTTTGTGGTAATTACTATTTATTAAGCATAGCCAGCGATCATCACATTGTTGAATTATTTCATACTTATTATTTACCGACACCGTACGTGTTACACTCGATCCGCCCGGACACAGGCACTTGAAGCCATAGTCCAACTGTACAGCGCCGGCGCGCCCATTGGAGGTACACTAATACTAGAATATAAGAGCAGGTGCGAAAGCGTGGCGCAGGAATTCGCTCGACGCTCGCTTGATTTTCACATGATTTCACACAAATACTCAACCTTACGACTCCATCTTTGCTCCTAATGAGTACAGTGCCTTACTTGCTGTAGAAATCAATCATGTCTCACTTCGCAGCCCAGACTGTGTCACGCAAAATCACGAATTAATATGAACTCACAATCATGAAATTCGCGCGATCTCTAGGATTGCTTGCGCGATTGGAACATTTAAGTACACTGCGGTAAGCGGCGCCACTGCATCTTGGCGGTAACCACAACGTGCTTTCCAGGAATGTTTACAATCGCGCACAGCAGCTAGAGATCGCTGAGAATTTCATGATCTAATTCGCTGATTTGGTGACACAGGCTCGTCTGCGAAGTGGACATGATATTTCTACAACAAGTAAGCACTGTACTCAATTAGGATCAAAGATGGAGTCGTAAGATGAGTATTTGTGTTGATAATCGTGAATCAACGCGCGTCGAGCGAATTCCTGGCGCACGCTTGCGCACCTGCTCACTATATCTATGTTGAGTGCTACGCGCAATGGCGCGCCGTGCGCTTACAGTTGATATGCTTCAAAGTGCCTGGTTCCGGCACCGCCTTCTCCGGACGCCCGCGTCCGTCAACGTCGAACCACAGGCCACTTGACTTGGAACCTCTCAATAAAAAATATGTAAACACGAAATGTATTTACGACCATCTTATACGTTTCTCTAATCTTATTTCGCCTATATTTGCCGACAAATTACCCGTACAATGCCGGTCAAATCATGTGCAACACACAAGTACACCGCACGCCCTGTGCACAAACAACATGAATAAGAGACCGGTTAGGAAAGCGTGATCGCATAATTCGCTCGACGCTCGCTTCATTTCACACGACTACAGAAGGAAAACACCAAACAGCCTCCATCTTGGTATCTATGTGTAGCTAAATGTTCACTTGTTCGAATTATAACTCTGTCCTTTGTTCTTATCTACTCCCGCTAGAGATATCTCGTGAAATCCTGCAGAAAATGTTCTCTCTGTGACGATGTAAAGAGGACGAGATGTCTGTTTATTCACGAGTAATGCCGGGGCGCATTGCATGCCGGGTAAACCGACCAGGCTATCCGACTGTTACACGGCGGAGGAGCCTGACACCCTTCCATACGAAATGCCTGGTAGCTTGAAAACAAACTCCGAATTTCGTAAATAAAACATGTATTGCCACATTTGACCTTACCTGTTACATGTTGCAACTATCGCTACACTTCTTAATTATGATTTACCTCGAAATACACGTTAAAATAAGAGAATTTAGAACAGATATACTATTTGAACGTTGTAAAACGCCATTCTGTATGTTCTTATGTCTCTTCTTGTACGCAAAAATTCACGAACTTTCGCTACGTATTATGGGATATCTATGGGAAAATGGCGGCGTTTTTTGTATTTTATCTTATCAATTTGTAAACAATTACTTACTGACACGTAAGTACATACTCAGTGATAGCGCACATATAATAAATCTAGGCGTGAAAGTACAGAGAAGCTGTAAGAATCGTAAAAAGTTAGATAATTTAACGTTAAATAGCAGCGCACGTACTGCCGAACAAAATTCTAATGCGTTGGTTTGTGACTGTACTGGATTGTCAGTCTCACAGATGTTACATTTTCGTGCGGTACAACAGGAGACCGGATCATTCTCCCGGCGTGTGGTTATTTTGTGTCTAGGTAGCCTCGTTTTCGTTACCAACGCGGGTTTTAAGAAACATGGCTGTGTTTCTAAGTTTCCCTTAAAAGTTAAAGTTAGTGCAAGTCGTGGTGCTGGAGTCGCCACAACGTAAGCTAATCAATTATAGCACTGTATTTAGATGTTCGCCTCTCCGCCTTACAGTAAACCGTATACTCAGTAATCCCACTGTTGTACATGCCTGCCGTGTGATGTAGTGCAGTATTGTAAGACTGTTCAATGTGAGTAACATTGTATGTTTGTTACGTTCAATTGTTCATTTGGCTGAATATTTTAGACTTGTATTATTGTATTTGTATTTAGTTTCTTACGCTTATATCGTGAGGATGAATAAAGAAAGCCAAAACTGAGTTCACCCCACTCGAAGCGTGTAGCTATCTGCTACATCGCCTATCTCCGAAAGCAAAGGGCAGCATATAGGCCAAGCAGAATCAGTGACCTCTCGCCACTTGGTTTAAGCGAGATGGCGAACTCTGTGGCTAATTGCGGACTAAGTGCTGCATGCTCGAGCCCTCCCGTTTCGAGGCCCGCAAGCCAAGCAAATGCGCTACGGGCATGACATCACACACAACGCTACAGGAACGATCGAAAGTAGCCCGCTTTAGATTTTCGATGATACGCTACTCTACCATTTTCACAAAGAGACATTTCCTGCCAGGATTTCACGAGATATCTCTGGCGGGTGTAGATAAGAAACAAAGACAGAGTGTATAATTCGACAAGTGAACATTTACGCACACATACGATCAAGATGCGAGGCGTGTTTGGTGTATTTCGTTCTGCTTAGTCTCAGTTCGCTTCGAATGAAAGCAGAGCCGTCGACAGCGAATTTGCGATCACGCTTTCCTACCTGCCCTCTTTATTCATGTTGTTTGTGCACAGGGCGGGCGTGTGGACTTGCTGGAGGGGTTTTTTTTTTTTTTCTTGCCCAGCTTGAGCATTTGACCGCATTTACGGGCTAATTATCGGCAATACTAGGCCCGAAATAGATTAAAGAGAA